CTTAGTTAATTCTGCTAGTAATTATATGCTTGTTTTAAAAATTAAGCTATATATATTTAAGTATAAACAATTATACTGTAAAACTGCAAATAGCTTATTAAATTAGTTATTGTTTATTTAATAGTACTTTACTACTTAAATAACTATAGTAATTCTAGAGCTAATATATGCTAAAAACTCCAATTTTAGGAAAGGTATATTTATTAAATAAAAAACTAATGCCTTTTAGGGCTTTTTAGTAATTTATAATAACTTTACAAATTATATAGCTTTGCGCTAGCAATAGTTTATTTAAATTTCTACTCTATTAACTTTTAATAGTGAAGTATTAGCTTACTATAGTTTTAATAGGTAATAGGGAATTAGAGTTTAATTCTAGAAAAAAAGCCTAAAAAATAGCTACTATATTTAAAAAAAGCAGTAAGCGCGCAAATTACTTAATCCCAATATAAAGAAGTAGTAATAATAAATACTAATATAAAGCTTTTTTGGGTTTTGTAATTAAAATAAGTACAATTTAAACTTTTTAATAAAGAATAATTAGAAGGCAAGTCTAGTACTAGCAGCTGCAGTAATTCTAGCTCTAATAGCGTATATTAAAGTTATTGCAATTAAAAAGCTTATAGTTAAAACTTAGGTTTAGCTAGCAAGTTTGCTTTATTATATATACTTATTTAGCTAGGCCTTTTTTTTAGAAAACTTTATACCCTTTACTAGGCGTATTAAGGACTAGGACTTTTACTTTAAAAAAATTAGAGTATTTAAAGCAGGCTTTTGCTCGAATACGTTAGTATAAAATAATAAAATAGAATATATAGTTCTATTTTATTAGTTTCTAGGACTACTATAATAATTAATAGGGACAGTTGGGGGCATTAGTATTTAATTATTAGAAGTAAAATTTTTAAATTTATTAAAAACTAACTACTGCAAAAGTATTTGCTAAAGATGTTTTTATTAATTAGTAAATAAAAGTTAAAAAATTAAAAATAATTAAATACTATTGTAGTTTTAACTATAAACTATACTAACTAGGGATTAAGCAATATTTTTTTTTTTAACTCGCTTGGCACTTTATAAGAAATTAAAGTTTTTAGGTTTTAGGGGGAGTATAGTTGCAAAGCTAAAACTTAAAAAAATTAATAGAAGGGCACTACTAGGCGTAGAACCTGCAGTTTAATTTAACTTAATACAAAAAAACTTACTAAGTCTAAATAAAATAAAGATTAATAAATTAAGAGTTTTTTTTTAATTTTTTAGGTAGTAGTGCATGGCCGTTCTTAGTTAGTAGAGTAATTTGTCTGCTTAATTGCAATAATAAATAAAATTTTAATTTACTAAATAGCTAAGCTAGCTTTAGCTAGTTGCCAGCTTCTTAGAGGGATTATTGGCTTAAGCTAATAAAAGTTTAAAGCAATAATAAGTTTATAATACTTTTAAATATTCTAAGCTATATGCGCGCTATACTAATAGAGCTAATAAGTTTTTTATTTTAACTAAAAAGTTTAGGTAATCTTGTTAAACTCTATTGTGCTAGAGATAAAGTATTGCAATTATTACTTTTTAATAAAAAATGCCTAGTAAGCGCGTATTATTAGTATATGTTAATTATATTCCTGCCTTTTATATATACTACTTATTACTACTACTAATTAAATAGCTTAGTAAAGCTTTTAAACTAGCTTAAGGAAGTTAGCAATAATTACTCTAAATTAGAAAGTTTATTAAACTTAGTTATTTAGAGGAAGTAAAAGTTGTAATAAAGTTTCTATAAGTAAACCTATAGAAGGATTATTACTAATTTTTAAGAAAACTTTAGTCCCTATCTAAACCCTTATTTTTTGTATACTATTTATTTCCTTAGCAGGCTTTGCCTGCTAATAAAATACTATAAAAATTCTTTGTAATTGCAATTAGTATTAAAAAATACATAATAATTACAACTTTTAATAACAGATTTTTTAGTTCTAGTATTAATAAAAAACGCAGCAAAATGCGAAAAGTAGTATAAATTGCAGAATTTAGTAAATTATTAAATTTTTAAACGCATATTGCGCTTTTTAGTATTTTATAAAGCATGCCTATTTAAGCGTTATTTATACTTTTAAGCTTTACTTAGTATTAAGTATTTATTTCTATTTTATGCGCAGGACTTACTTTAAAGCAATTAGCAGCTAGTATACTTACTTTAAAGCGCAGTATATTTTGCATTTTTTAGTTTAAACGCTTGCGTTTATAAAGCCTATACTTTTACTTTTAACTTTAAATTAAGTAGAAATACCTGCTAAACTTAAGCATATTAATAAGCAGAAAAAAAAAAACTAATAAAAATTGCCCTAGTAATAGCAAGTAAAGTAGTATTAGCTTAAATTTAAAATCTAGCTTTTTTAGGGTCTAAGTTGTAATTTGCAGAAGGCGTTTTAGTATTAGTAGTAGTTTAAGTTCCTTAAAACAGGACGTTATAGAAAGTAAAAATTCTATATATAGTTGCTAACTTTTGCTGTATAAAGCCCTTTTAATAAGTTAAATTATTTAGGAATGCAGTTCTAAATAGGAAGTAATTTTTTTTTAAAGCTAAATACTAGCTAGAAACTAATAGCACACAAATAGAGTAATTAAAAAATAAAAAGTACTTTAAAAAGAAAGTTAAATAGTATATAAAATTATTAAAAAAAAAGCGCTTGCAGCTAGACTTGCCTATAGTTGCTTATTTAAGCTTTTACTTAGTGCACTTTTTTGCAAGCAAGCTAGTATTAGTTTAAGTAATTAAATAAAAGCTTTTATTATATACTTCTTTTTAGGGAAGCCTTATAAGGAAAGCAATATATAACTAACTTAAATTAAAGTTTGCATATTTACTAAAATGCTAGCGTAATAGCTATAAGCAGCCTGTTTTAAAATATAAACTAAGAAGTTTAATATTTATGCAAGTGTTTAAGTATTAAGCCCAAACGCGTAATAAAAGTAAATAAAAGTAGGATTTCTTTTAAAGTACACTATTAACTAATCCTAATATTTTTAAATAGATTTAAGTAAGAGCATAGCTATTAAAACTTAAAAAATAGTAAACTATGCTTAAATAAAGTAAAGCTAGAAAAAACTTTAGTAAAAGCTTGCAGCAGTTCTAATGTGCAAATTAATTATTAAATTTAGGTATAGGGGTAAAAAACTAATTAAACTATTTAGTAGCTAGTTCCTGCTAAAGTTTCCCTTAAAATAGTAGTAATATATTTAGTTTTATAAAGTAAAACAAATAATTAGAGGCTTAAGAATTAAAACAACTTTTACTTATTTTTAAACTTTAAATATATAAAAAGTCCTTATTACTTAATTAAACATAGACACTTAAATATACTATTACTAGTAAGCTATTTTTAGTAAATAGAACTAGTAATGCAGGATAAACTAAATGCAAAATTAAAATACTAGAATACACGCTTATTAAATACTACAAAAAGTATTAGTTTATTTAGATAGCAGGACGGTAGCTATAGAAGTTGGAATTTACTAAAAAATATATAATAACTTACTTACTAAATAAACTAGCTCTAAAAATAAATAGCGCTTAAGTATATTACTTATACCCTGCTACTAGAGTAAAATTTAAGCTTTAGCAAGTAGGCAGGCGTAGAAGCTTATAATAAAGCTTTAGAAATAATTCTAAGTTAAATAGCTTTTAGTGCAGATTTTAGTAGTAGTAGCAAATACTTAAATAAAAACTTTAAAAACTAAAGTAGGGAAAAGTTCTATATAAATAGCAGTTGGATACAGGTTAGTTAATTCTAAAAAATAAAATAATTTTATTTTAATATTAGTGCTTGCGCTGCGCCCTTAAAAAGGAAGCTAGTTAATATTCTAGTATTTAAATATAAATTCTCTGCAGCAACGCAATTAAGAGCAGAAACTTTAGTAAAAGCTCTAAAAAGAGTTTTCTTTTCTTTTTAATAGTTTATTACCCTAAAATTAGTTTGTTTAGAGCTAGGGTTTAATAGCTAAAAAAGTACTGCACTTTTGCAGTATTTAGTACGCTTTTAATAAGCTTTAAAAATTTACTTAAAAAAATAATTTTTATGCTAGGTTATACTTATAACTGCAGTAAGTTTCTAAAATAAAAAGCCTCTAGTTAATAGAATAATATAGATAAGGGAAGTTGGTAAAATAGATTTATAATTTTAAAAAAAGGATTAGCTCTAAAAATTAGGTACGTTAGGCTTTAGGGAAAAGCTTTTAGTACAAAAAAGCACTAACTGCAAAGTAAGCGCCTTTTAGCGCTAAAATATAAATACTTTTAGTAGGCTTTAGCTATTTAGCGTGTATTTAACAACTAACTTAAAACTAGTACAAATAAGGGGAATCTAACTGTTTAATTAAAATATAGTATTATAATAGCTAGAAAGTAGTATTAATACAATATAATTTCTGCTTAGTATTTTAAATATTAAAGCAAAGAGATTCGACCAAGCGCAGGTAAATAGCAGGAATAACTATAACTTTTTTAAAGTAGCTAAATACTTTATTATCTAATTAGTAACGCGCATAAATAGATTAATAAAATTTCTACTATTTCTATTTACTATTTAGCAAAACTACAGCTAAGGGAACAGGCTTAGCTAAATTAGCAAGGAAAAAAAACCCTATTAAGCTTAACTCTAGTTTAATATTGTAAAAAAACATAGAGGGTATAGAATAGGTAGGAGCTTTAGCACTAGTAAAATACTACTACTTTTATAGTTTTTTTACTTATTTAATAAAGCAGAGCTAGGCTTTACTACTTAACTTTTAGTATTAAAGTTTTTTGTAGGCTAATCCGGGTTAAAAACATTATTAAGTAGGGAGTTTAGCTAGGGCAGCACATTTATTAAACTATAATGCAGGTGTCCTAAAAGAAATTTATAAAAAATAGAAATTTCTAGTAGAGTAAAAAAGCAAAAGTCCCTTTAATTTTAATTTTTAGTGTAAATACAAATTATAAAAGTATAGCTTATTAATTTTTTAGTCCCTTAAAATTTAAGGCTAGAAGTGCTAGAAAAATTACTATAGAAATAACTAGCTTGTAGCAGCCAAGCATTTATAGCAATATTACTTTTTAATTTTTTAATATTAGCTCTTCCTATTATACTAAAGCAGAATTTAGTAAGTATTAGATTATTTACTTACTAATAGGGAACGTAAGCTAGGTTTAGACTATTATAAAACAAATTAGTTTTACTCTACTAATAACTTTGCCTTAATAGTAATACTGCTTAGTATAAGAAAAACTGTAGTTTTAAATAATTAGTTTTTATAGCTATTTAACTAGGCATTGCTGCAAAGCTACTATTTACTAAATTATAGCTAAATACTTTTAAATTAGAATTTATACTAAAATAGAGTAATTTCTGCCTGCACTAGTTAGATACAAATAGGCTTTTAGCCTAGAATTTTACTAGGCCGGCATTAGCAGTTTTATTAAAGTTGGGGCTACTAGCTAGTATATTGCAATTATATAGTATATAAAATTAAATTCTTTACAGATAACTTAATTATCTAGCTAGGTTGTATAAGTAGTTAAGTAGCTTTATTATTATAAGCTACTAAGTATAAGCCTGCTGCTAGCTTAGTTAAATATAGAATATATAACTTTCCCTATTTGTTGAAAAGCAGCAAAGTCTGCAGCAAAAAAAGGAAAAAGTATTATAAATTTAGGGCCCTAACCCCTTAAACTAGGTAGAAAAATGCCTACTTAAACTTTTAGGGTATTCTAAGCACTTACTTAAGCTAAAAAAGCTACTTGCTTAATATAAGTAGTATTAGCTACTTAAATTAGAAAAGCTAATTGCTTAAGCTAGGCAAGTTAGCAAAGGGAATAGAGACAAGGTACTTAAAAAGCAGTAGTTTTTTTTTTATAGTTTTTATTGTATAAAAAAGTTATTTAAAAATTTAAAATATAAATTTTAGAAAAGCAAACCTGTTTTAAACAGCAGGCTACGAAATTAGGAAAAGAAAATAGCAAATAATAATAATTAAGGCGTCTAGTAACTTACAAGTTACTAGACAGTAGAATTAAAATAAATAAAGCATTTAGTAACCTACAAGTTACTAGACAGTAGAATTAAAATAAATAAAGCGTCTAGTAACTTACAAGTTACTAGACAGTAGAATTAAAATAAATAAAGCGTCTAGTAACCTACAAGTTACTAGACAGTAGAATTAAAATAAATAAAGCGTCTAGTAACCTACAAGTTACTAGACGGTGGAATTAAAATAAATAAAGCGTCTAGTAACCTACAAGTTACTAAACAGTGGAATTAAAATAAATAAAGTATCTAGTAACCTACAAGTTACTAAATAGTGGAATTAAAATAAATTTATTACTTTATTATTTTTAGTTTTTTAGCTTAGGTATACTTATAGAGTATGCTTATAAAATATAAGTTAAAGTAAATTTAAGCTTAACTTACTTATAAAGCTTATTATACTTTTATTTTATATTTTTAATAAATAATAACTATATTTTATTTTTAACTAGCTAT